GGGGCGCTTTTGCCCTGGCTCTCCTCGCACAGGCAATGCAGAAGCCAAGGCAGGTCCTGACTCTGAACGAGTAGTTGCCCATATCTGTTCTCATACACACAAACCTCTTTCGTGTCGGCCTCATCTGGCTTAGGAGACATCGGCATGGTTACTCTGCAGAGCGCGCCTCGAGGAAACCCTTTCTGTTTCTCAGGGGTTTTCTTCGCTTTCGACGCGGCCTTGACGGTGCCGAGGAGATCCGCCATGGGATCCCGACCTTTTTCTCCCGCTGCTGCGGGAGACCCTGTTGCAACCCCCGCTGCTGCGGGGGCCTCTTTCACAGGAGTCGCCGCTTCATCCACGTTGTATCCTTCTCCAGCGCGAAGCTTCTCATACAATTGTTCTAACAAGTTTGTTTCGTTCAAGGCGCCCTTCACGGCACTGTGGCCACCGACCACTTTGAGCATCCACAGGCGGTGCTTTCCGACGGGCACGAAGGCTTCATTGCTCATCTCGCCGCCCAAGACAACACAGCGCTCCTCGCATTCCAGAGCAAATCCCGCTGCTCCCTCGTGACTTCGGCACAGCCCGCCCGTCGCGCAGAGCACCCCCATGCTCGCGCCATCTTGGCGCGCTGCTTTCCCGACAGCGACCTCCCGCCATGTGTCCTCTGCCTTGCGTTTCATGCCGCCGTGCGCAAGCCCCCGCTGCTGCGAAGGCGCGCGCGTCCTAGGTGTCGCCCCCCCTCAAAAGTGAACCGCCTGAAAACGGCTATGGAAGGCGGACTCCTCGTCTCGAACAGATCCTCCTACTCCTCATCCGCATCATGCTCCCTCCACGAGATTCTTTCCATCTCATCCAACCCATCCCCCTCCTTCTCTCCGAACGAGCACAGCTGCCTTCCCTGTCCCTTGACCGCCCCTCTGCCCCTTGAGGGGGGGCCTTGTGTGCTCTGACCGACCCTCTGTCCCACAGGGGGGGGGCGCCCTGATCGAACGACCACCCCTGTTTCACAGAGGAGGGCGCGCGGAAACGCACGACCCCACCCCCTCTGTGACAGAGGGGGTCCCGCGCTTTTCCACCCGACCCCCTCTGTGACAGAGGGGGGTCCCGCGGAAAAGCGCGGGACCCCCTCTGTCACAGAGGGGGTCCCGCGGAAAAGCGCGGGACCCCCCTCTGTCACAGAGGGGGTCCCGCGGACAAACGCGGGGCCCCCTCTGTCACAGAGGGGGTCGGCCTTGCGTGCTTCGACCGCCCCCCTGTCCCACAGAGCGTCCCGCGAACAGGACGGCAGGACGATGAGCAGGACGATGGGCACGGAGAGAGGAAAACAGGACACGGGAGGGGGGCGGGAACGGACGAGGGGGGACGGAGACGGAGGCGAGGCGCGAGGGGAGGGCAGGACGAACATAGAGGGAGAGGAGCAGGACGAGACCTGGCAGGGGATATGCACCAGGAGAGAGTTCTCATGGAGGAAGAGGAGGGGAGGGGACGAGAGG